AAGTGGTCAGCTTCCCAATCACGTCAAGAGTACGTGTTATGTTGAATTGCTGATCAATAAGTCCGATTGTTGATTGATTGATTGATTTTTATTTGGTGATCACATAGGAGGTGGTTCAACACTGAATCGATATTGTTTGCAGTTACCATCCTCGATCGGTGTATTGATTGATGTGTTCATTTTCAAGACAATTCGAGTGAGTTAATGGAATCTTCAAAGCGATTTCCCCTTTCTTGGGAATTTTTTATTGGCTGCTGAGAAATTTTGGAAATTTTTTCCCGTTTTTGTTATTATTCCCATTTTTTATGCTCCTGTAAAAATTTCTACCATTTCAGGGCACCAGAAATATAACCTTCCTGCTGTTTGCGATCTCAGTTGGTCTAACCGGCGACATTCTATTGGCTCTCTCCAATGTGGAACTCTAGGCTCTAGGCTGCTGCTTGGCCAAGCTTAAAGCTTAAAACATTGTGCGCAAATCATAAAATAAGTGTGTAAAATGCAGTGTGAAATGAAATCAAATCAGACCAATTATATCCATGCGTGGTTCTCGTTTATATAGAGACAGAAAGAGCTGAGGAGGCTTTATTTTTTTATTTTTGTAGATGAAAATTTCTATAATCAGAAATCTAAAGATATTGTCTGTCATATGGAAAAGTTTTGTGAAATATTCAGTGGAATTTTTGTGGAAATTGCAGCCAATTCATGTGGAATCGGCCGTTTTTGGATACGAAAAATGAAAATGCTGACAGACGTCAAACCGGTTTCATAAGGGAATAATAATAATAATAATAATAAAAATAATGAGCATTTTTCAAAATAATAATAATAATAATAACAATGCAGTCGTCATTTCTCACTAAAAACAATTCAGTATATAATATAAATTGGTGTGAATAACTCTTATCATTAGTGATTACTGCCGTTATCAGTTACTTTAGTTATCAGTTATCAGTTAGTATTTGATCACGCCATTTGAATAATTTTATGCTTTATGCTTCCTCTCTCCTTCTATCTTTTTTCATGTGATCGTGATTGCGATAATAATAATAACAATTATATCAGATGTAATAATATTAATAGCAAAAATAATAATAATACTAATAATAAAACGATGTGTTATTAATCGGTATGGTTGATGGGCAAGTTCGATTTGCCTGTCACATGATAGACATTTAAGAAAGTGCCTGCCTGCCTTCGTGCCTGCCTGCCTGATCGATCAAAGTCTGCTTGATCAACAACATGCGATTGATCAGGCAATATGTCAATCAATCATTGCAGACTGCTGTTTACACTACTACAACTACTGGAATCATACTGATCGATCTGATCACGTGATCGATTCGTGATCAATCAATATTAGTATATGATGATCAATGTTTTCAGCTGTGCATAGGGCAGAATTAAGCTGAGCACAGAGTGTAGATCATAGTGACATTGGAATTGCGGTCATAATCTTACCCTAATCCTACATTATTATTGTTATTATTGTCATTTTCACCATTATTATATGAAGTGGCCGGTGTGATTTGGTTTGTTGTTGTGATTGGATATTTGGATATATGGATATATATTGTAGGATATTTTTGTGAATTGATTGACATATTGCGTGATGGATGTAAATGATTGCTGCAAATTAAAGCACTGCAAAATCAACCGTAATGACAAATCGTCGTGACAAATTTTTGCAGCTTTGCAGCTGTTTTTTTTAGCAGCAGCAGCAATTTCCGAATGGTTGAAGCCAATTTCAGGTCAACTTCACGTAATTTAAAATTTTAGGAGTGAAATAATTTTTTAAGCCAAGCCGTAACAGCGATGAGCAGTAGTAGTGTGAATCTAGTTGGTTTCGCGTCTGCGATCGTCTCGTGTGTTGCGTTCGGTTTCATGTTCGCCCC